TCTTATTGATTTTTTTGCCTGCAGTCACCTCTGTTCTCTTATCTCCTCTGATCAAGTCCAATGTCCTTCTATTTCTCACCATTCTTTAATTTTTGGTACCACTAATATAAATTTGACATCAGCAGAACATTTTTTTGAGTTTCGGAACTATAATGATATAAATTGGGACGGTCTGCTTGATTATCTCGTCAATGTTGACTTTAGTAGTTTATATAGTACATCTGATATTAATTTACAGCTTTCGTTTCTCCAGTTGCTTATTGCTAATCTTTTTTCATATGTTCCTATCGTTAGAAAACGTGTTGTACATTCCTTGGATCCGTGGCTGAAATGTAAATCTATAATACTGGCGATCTCTTTGCGTGATATGGCGTACAAAAATTATTTAAAATTTCCTACGCAGCAAAATATGGCGGTGTATCGAACCCTCAGAAACAAAGCTAAGTCTATTCTTAGAAAGGAACGTAAAAAATATTATGAAAAAATTTTCAATGGACTAAATGCTACTCATCTCTGGAGACAACTTCATGCCGGTGGTATCGTTGACAAGGACGTCAACCTCTCAACTGACTTTGATGTTAATGTTTTGAATGAATATTTTACTCAAGAAAATGGGGTTGGTAATGTTATTGTTGATTTTCCAGATATTGATAGACAATGTCATACATTTTCTTTTAATTGTGTTTTCGAGATAGATGTATTTGAAGCCTTTCAGCAGGTCAAATCGAAGTCTGTAGGTGTTGATGGAGTACCCATTAAATTTTTGAAATTAATCTATCCATATATTTCTAGACATTTCACCTATATTTTTAATACAATGTTTACAACATCGACCTTCCCAAATGACTGGAAAATTGCTAGGGTTTTCCCTATTTCCAAAAATAAAGGAAGGAACACTATTGAGAATTTGAGACCTATAAGTATACTACCGTCGCTTTCTAAAGTTGCTGAACATCTCATAAGGATGCAGATTCAATCATTTATAGATGACAATAAATTTTTGATTAATTATCAATATGGATTTAGGCGTGGTCTCAGCACTACTTCACTTTTAGTAGACTTAACTGACTTGATTAGAGAGACAATTGATGGACGTGATAGTGGTGTTCTTGTTGCGCTGGATATTTCGAAAGCATTCGATTGTGTGGATCATTCAATGCTGATTGAGAAACTGTTCTCATTATATGCATTTGACAGTAATTCTTGTAAATTAATTGCTTCATATTTATCTGGACGTTCTCAATATGTTTCATATAATGGCGAGGCATCCAGCTTACGTAATATTTACAGCGGGGTACCTCAAGGTTCAATTTTAGGTCCGCTTCTTTTTGTTTTATATGTCAATGACATTAGTAGCATTCTAACTAATTGCGACTGTCATCCGTTTATGTATGCGGACGACATTCATTTATTTTTTAAAGGTCAATCAGACTTTCAACTAGAGAATAGCATAAATACAACATTAGGTAATATTTCACGTTGGTTGAGAAATAATAATCTAGTAGTAAATGTTTTTAAGACAAAAGCAATGACATTTGGTTCACCTTGCCGACTGAATAGCGGTATTAATATACAGGTTAATGGTGTAGTGGTGGATTTTGTTGACCGCATAAATTGTTTAGGTGTTGTTCTTGATGCCAAGCTTGATTTTTCTTTGCATATTGATGCACTGTACCCCAAAATTATAAATATGCTACGAAAATTACACTCAACTGATTTCTATTTGCCCTTATTTGTAAAGAGAAATCTTGGTCATTCTATGTTATTTTCGGTAATTTCCTACTGCATTGAAGTGATTTCTGGTACAACACATGAGTATTTAATGAAATTAGAAAAACTTTTTAACATCATTGTAAGATATGTTTATAATTTGCGTCGTTTTGACCATATTTCTGCGCATGCAGTCCTCTTTCTAGGAGTGTCATTCTCTACTTTTGTTAAACAACGCGTGGTTTCATTTCTATATAAATGTATCTGTTTAAATCTTCCCGGTTTTCAGCGAGATCGGCTAGTGTTCTCTCGGTCTACTAGGAATACGCAAATAATTTTCCCTCATTTTTCTACGTCTCTATATGAAAGATCTTTCATAGTTCGTTCCGCACGAATCTGGAATCAGCTTCCAGCTGAGCTACGACAATTCTCGTTTTCCCGCGGTGTTTTTCGCCGCATGTTTGAAAACTTTGTAGAGGCAAATGGAGGTTAACAATTTGTTTGTTAATGATATTGACGATACTGTATCGTTTGATTCAATATTGTTTTTTTTTTTTATTACCAGCAATAGACTTAAATTTATTTTCATTGGTTGGGGAGCCTTTTTGTCCATATTTTACATATGATTTCTTAGGTTACTTTAAGATACACTATGTAATATTTTTAAGATGTTTTTTTTTTTTATTTTGGAGTACACTTTTGTAGTTTTCTGATAGTTGTGATACTTATTGGCCTAATGGCTTTTTCATTGCAACATATAAATAAATAAATGAAAAAATGAAAAATAAATGCTGAAGACAAGACACTTCTTTTGCCTTCTCGTATGAGAGATGTTTTGTGACTTGGCCTGTAATAGTTCCATAGTTCAATTTATTGTGATTCGTCAATTATAAGGGTTAACGCGGATAAAGATATGTATGAAAGATCTTTATCATATAAAAATCTACTTATATTTGAAAAGAAATTTAAAAATTTTTGACATATCAACGCTCCCAAGCGTTGATGTATCCATGCTACAGTGATATCAAGGTAGGGCTATGATACCATATGATTTCAATTTTTTTATGTTCTTGGCTTAATATGTCATCTTTATTTGTTTATGTATGTGTTTTCTTTTCAATAACAAAAAAATTGTTCAGAAAACATTCAAATTCGGATGTTTTCAAAATGTTTATTTCATCGTATGCATCGACAAAATCTAGAGTTTTTGTAGCGAAATAATCCTTTAGAGATATATAGAATCTGGTTTTGAAAAGAAGTGTTGACCTTTCATTCAGTTTTCGCTGTTTTCAATTATTTATTCAAAATAAATGCAACAAGTTGTTTGGTTTTTTATTGTTTTGATACTAATTCTGACATTACAAGCCAAACAGGTAGACCTCTATACTTGCAATTTTTTCAAAGTTAGCCTACCTTCTCTTCATTGTACCATGAATCTCATTGTCAAAATCTATATTCATAAATCCATTGTATACACACAAAATCAGAAATGGAAACGGGTTTTTATGCCTTAAAATTTGACGAGGTAAATTACAGAAAATGCAAAGCTGGGAATGCTAATTTGAAATGAGGTTCCCTTTATTTCATTGTACCATGCAATTGTTATATTCTTCAAAAAAACATTCACATATTTTTTCATACATTCCTAATTTCAGCACAGGAAATGTTCCATTGTCAATTTTGAAAATTTTCAATTTTGAAATATACGCTTGACGTATTTGGGTAACAGTCATATAAATCATTGTATGCATTTTGTGTTGCGAAAACTGCCGATCGAATACTTCGAATTTTAGGTAACGCTGTCATCTATCATTTTCAATTAAATTTAAAATAATTCCAGATTTTGTCGATACATACGTTGAAATAAACATTTTGAAAACACCCGAATTTGAATGTTTTCCGAACAATTGTTTTGTTATTAAAAACAAAACGCATACACAAAAAAATCAAGAAGACATATTAAGCCAAGATGACTACCTTACCTTTTTATTGTACCATGCTTTTGATAAGGTTTCTTAGCTTATCCCAACATTGATTACCGTAGAAGAAGGAGATACAGTCACTGCCCTACGCTGACTTAAGGAAGAGAACGAATAATAGCTTTACAGTAAACGACGTATAACGGCACCTCCCTATATTCGGTATTTTTATGATTATAGCGACATTATTTACCGGAATTGTTTCAAATTTGGTATTTGAGATTCGTAATGGATACTACAGCCAATGACAGAAAATTGTCTGTGCAGGTCCACGCCTTTTTATAGCTCCCATATAACGGTACTTCCCAAAATTCGGTATTTTGATGATTTTAGAGTTATTATTCACCGAAATTGTTTCAATTTACGTATTTAGAGTTCGTAATTGTCTGTGACAGAAATTTGCCTATGCAGGTCCAGGTCTTCGTATAGGCCCTATATATCAGTACCTCCCTATATTCGGTATTTTGACGAGTTTAGGTACAATAGCCACCGAAATTTTTTGAGATATCGTATTTGACGTTAGTAATGGATGCTATAGCCTGTGACAGAAAATTGTCTATGCTGGGCCAGGTCTTCGCACAGCTCCGATATAACGGTACCTCCCTATATACGATATTTTGATGATTTTAGCTACATTATTCACCGTTTATTTCAAGTTTCAAATTTGAATATGGTAATGGCTAGTTGCAAACAATGCACGTCGTATAGACCCCAATAAACGGCTATATTCGGTATTTTTAAAATTTTAACAGAATGTTTTAAGGATTTTATTTTTGAAAATTTCCAAATTCGTTCCAAATGGTGGAGAGTATTCAAAGTTTGGCCCGGCCGAACTCACTGCTTTTTAACTTGTTTATTGTCTTAACGCTAATAAGCAGTCAAACTTACAGACTAATCTTTGGAAATCCCGCTTTTCTAAAACATCAGCTGATGGTCTTCATATGGAGTAACAATCATGGTATAAGAATATAGTTAAGCGCATCGACACAGCTGCTGGGACAATGAACTGTCAAACCAATTTTAGAATTAAAAATGTTAAATGAAAAATTATTTAAATTTGTAAAAATTGTTGAAAACGCGAATTATAATAACATCAGAATGACGTCGTATAAGAAATCGTATAAAAATCTACTTATATTTGAAAGAACATTTAAAAATTGTTGGCATATCAATGTTCCCAAGCGTTGATGCATCTACCTGTATTTTTCTACCATGGTCACAACAACACGTATTGATTTCTCAACTATTTCCCTAATTTTACTCATCAGCCTCCATCAACTACGCGAGTATTGTCGCCAGCAAAACCAAGTATTTGCACATTTTAGTATTTTTACATTTTATTCATAGCATAACAAGTCAAATTCTAATATGGCCTTACTTTAGATTGTGTAGCGTGAGTGAGAATCCAGGATTTATAATCACGTTTCTTCATTGACATTTGTTTATGTCTCGGGTGGGTTGGACAAATGACATAATGACGCTGTTGGCGGATAACAAAGTAACAATCCTTGCAACGTCTCTTTAGTCGTCCTTTAACCTTAAAACCAGCCACTTGATTTAAGATTGTTGAGACTGGAGTCAACAAACGTTGCATTCCAGTAATTAAAGATGTTGGCGATGTTGCTTCTAGAGCCATCGGAGTTTTTGACACATTCGAACATATTGAAGGTAGAGGTTTTAACATCATGTGAAAATTCCGGGCATTTTGGTGACGGCTGATATTGTTTATCAGCACACTCGTAAGCTTTTGCGGTACAAAACCCGAGAAAATTTTTGTAACCAAAGACATCTTTATTTCGACTAAAAAACACAACAAATTATTTACATTATAATTCACAAAATTTCTCAGCTAAATTACCTCCTCTTGTTACAAAATAAAATCAATCACAAACTTGAGTTTTGCCGTTCCGTAACAAAATAGTTCAAACAAAATGTTCAGTAAACGAAGCTATCGGAACTAAATCTAGATGTCTTGGCATTTAGTTCCATAGTTTCATTATTATTATCATACATCCACCAATAATATATTTATCTACTTGAAATATTATCCACAATATGAATTATTTTTATATTTATTTTGAATAGAATATAAACTTAAGTAGTGTTCCAGTACTTTTTAGTATTAAAACTAGCAGAAGAGAGAACAGTTCTCATTTAGGTGTGCTCAAAAAATAAGGGAACGGACAAGGCCCATTAAATAGGTCGTCCGATTAGCCCAGCTGATTTCACCCATTCCGTCAAAATACATTTGTTTATATTTGGAATTCGGCGAAAAAAATGACAAACTTTCATTATACAATAGGCCTGTCTGGTTATTTTCCTGAAGTAACTGTCGAGTAGTTTCTTTCTGAGAGTTTCATTCTTTTTTATTCTCAGCTGATTTATGAAAAACGATGCAATAAAAATAAATGAAGTACAAACTAATTTAAATTAAGTCGGAAGACTATGTAATTAGGCTTGTGTTTACTAAAATAAATATATTTTAAATGTGCTTACCCAAACATAAATCACCGGAAGGAGAAGAATAGCAAATGATTGCAAGAAGAAATTTGTCCAAAAAGAATCCTCCCTTGAGTAACTCTCTTTTGCAGAACTTTTGTGTTAAAAGTAACAATTGTTAAAAATTTTAGGGCAAATGCGATTTTTTTCTCCATTCCAAAGTACGCAAGGTCAAAAAGGAGTACAAATTGCCAAAAGTATTTTCATTGAAACGTCTTGCCTTTTGTTTAATTTTATTACTATGCTCGTGTGCTTTGTTTCGTATGTTTTACTTTATTTTTTCCTCGTAGATTTTTACAAATTCGATACAAAAAGATCAACAATGGCGAATTATTATTCGCTTCAGAAGAAATTTTGACAGTTCCAAGGTAAATCTACCTTGGACAGTTCGAAGAAGTAAAACAGCTCTTTAATGGGCCGTGATTGAGTCAAACCAGCTGGGATTTGCTGCTACCATTTATTAATTATACCATGGGCCTATAAAAAGTCGGCCAGTAAAGCCATCTGACAACTAAGTTTGCATCGACAAAGCTGCTGGGACAATGAACTGTCAAACATATTTTGGAATCGAAAATGTTAAATGAAAAATTATTGAAAATTGTAAAACTTGTTAAAAAATTTCTATAATAACAACATCCGATTTGGGTGGTATAAGAACACATATAAGAATCTACTTATTTTTGACAAAACATTCAAAAAATTATGACATATCAATATTCCCAAGCGTTGATACATCTACCTGTATTCTTCTACCATGGTTTAGAGTCAAATCAGAAATATTGAGTTTCGGCGTTCTTAGCCATTATTTGTGATCACATTTTAAGACATGAACTATTGGATATTGTCCATTCACATGTTAAAAAGAAGACTCAATAAATTTAAAAAATAAATCATGCATATAAATACCCCGATATCTAAGTCACATCTCAGTATATGTATGTTGTATCTGTTAAATATATTTTGTAATGAAATTATCAAAGTTATAATATTAAATATATATTAACTTTGTAGGTATGTTAAAGATTTACTTTCAATGAATGACCGAGTTCTTCTCTAGCTAATCAATGTTAATGACTCCTTTCTCATCCGGTTCAGATCTCTTGGTGCGTTTTGATTGAGTTGGTCCGTCTTCTTCATCTGAATCTAGGATTTCGGTTATATCATCATCAACAGTTGTTGTCTTCCGCTTGGTGGCAATGGGTTTCTCTGGACTTTTTACTTGCAACTTATCAGTAGCTTCTGTTACCTCTTCCGTCGCGGACTTGTCGGTAGGTTTTGAAACGTTATGGTCATCGTCGTCTTCAATCAAGCATAAGTCATCATCATCGTCCAATACTTCGTTAATTTTGCTTTTCTTCGATGTAGAAGGTCCATCTGACACGTCATCCGTCTTGCCATTTTCTTTCTCGGAAGTTTTTACTGTTTCTTCTTCCTTGGGCTTAAGTTGATTTGGATCAGCAATAACCTCGAACAAAGGTTCATCCCTTTCTGCGTCTATATGCACAATTATAATGCTCAGTTCGTAATTTTGGAAGAAATCGTCGCATTTTAATAGAACCCCATCGACAATGTCCATTTCAGACATAAGTTTACTTTCATTACATTCGGTTTCACCTTCCTCTGACGAAATTACAACAACACCTTTGGCATCAACAATAACGTCGGGGTTTACCATATTCAAAGTTTTAATAAGAACCTCATCACGAAATTCTTTGATGTGAACACGTTTGGTGTCGATGCGTAAATGTATTGCGGGCTCAGCGGCGCAGACATAACAATTTTTATTTGGAGCCGTTAAAAATTTCTCCGGTACCAACAATTGGTTCCTTGGATTTGGTCTAAGACGCATATATACAGATTTGCACTTGTCCAATTGATTTTGCAAAACTTTAAATGTGTGCAAAACAACTACACCAGCAGTGATAGCATTTGTAGTTGCAATAGCGGGAATAATATTTCCAGCCATGGATTTGATTTCAAATCGAGATTTACGGCCAATTTCGAATATATAACCACGTATATTGGCACAAGCAGCAACGAAATCCATTGCAGGTTGGTCGTCCTTGTCCCATACTAAGGAATCGCCCTGATCCATTTTTTCCAAGTTTAGTTTGAGCTTTTTTAAACAGTCGGCAAATACAGCTGCACATTCGGCTAAGGACCATATCTTGTGATATTGACGGGAATAGCTTTGATCGGTTTCGTCTTGCTTTAATAGAAGGCTGTCCCACTTAATGGGTGTCGGAGGCTTGCGCGTTTTCCACAAATTGGACATAGATAAGAGATATTTGATGTCATCATAGAAGAATTTGTTGAATAATGTCTGGGCATCATAATGATTGTCTTTAGCCCACTGGCGTGTATTAACGCGTACTACATTACCATCACCAGGAACTTTTTCGTCGGCTGCCTTCTCAGGATCGTTTTTCGAATTTTCATCAACTTCTCCCTTGGCTTCAGGATCAGCAACATCTGGTGAAATGTCTTCGTCATCAACGGTTTCTCCAAATAGCTGACTACAAATAAAACAACCAATGAAATTACGTCGGCGCTATAGAAGACATACAAAATAACCGGATTTCAAATAATACTCACTTGAAAAGGTGTTTGGCCCACACGATGCAATGAATGGGTTCGGATGGTGTATTGCGAATAGTACATCCGGGGAAACTTTTTTGAGTAGCCTTTGGTGTACATTCGTAACACTGCGTCAATCCTTTTTTGATTAGCTCAACCTGACCATTGTAACCAGCTGTACCACTCTCTATCAATGGCACTTCTGCGTTCAAACACATTCGATTTACGTGGTTACGAGCAGCTCGATTATCAAGAGCGTTCAAAACGACATCAAATTTCTTAAAGAAATTTACGCCATAATCCGTTCTAAAATAAATAAATGTTTATTGTCAATTAAATCAAATCGATCGGGATCTACTTACGCCATTATGCTATCATGGTATGCTTTTATTTTAACATCCGGATTGAACTGCAAAGCGCTTTCCCTCGCCACTTGTGACTTCGATTTACCCACATGTTCACGGTGAAATAAAAATTGCCGATTTAGATTACTCAAATCGATGGCATCCAAATCAATCTACAAAATATCCACAAGTTAATATAGGTCCACAACTATGATTCCAATATGATTAACTTACAATTTCGATTTCGGGAAAACCCGACAGAACTAAATTTTTTAAGATTTCACATCCAATTCCGCCCGCTCCAACCACCAGCAGTTTGGAATTTTTCACTTTTTCTTGTAAGGTTGCTGGAAACACTCCATCTAAAGATGCCGCCATTGTAAATTCTAATTAAGTTTTATTCAATAGCAAAATTTTCTGCAAAAAAAGACGCTGTGCCGGTATAAATAAGACTGTGGAGCCTGATACGTGATATAACGCCGACAGGTTTGTAACATTTGACAAGGCCACCTAATACCCGACGTGCCGTATCATGGTAGAAAAATGCAGGTAGGCGCATCGACGCAGCTACTGGGACAATGAACTGTCTGAATGAATGAACTGTGATGCTAGGAACACAATTGGAGTGAAGGACGAATTTTTCGCGGCATATGTTCGTCATCAAAAATAAAAAAACATATGTGAATGCACACAATCAAAAATTTCGTCGGACGCCGCGAACTCAATTAGCTTTATTTCTATTTCAAACAAAACAGTACAAGGTGGTCATACTTGTACAGATTTTATGTGTTTTAATAAATATAATAATTGTTATGGTCACTCTACTATCTGTTACTCGTATAAAAAAAAACATAATTAATTTGTTTATTTATATGTGTACTTGCGCCTGAGTGAAGAAGCGACTGAAGAAGAAGCTTTTACTATAATATACATTATGTTAATTATTTTAACAATTCTCTGATTCATTGTAGTCAAACAAATGAGCGAAAAGTAAACAACTTCATCAGCTGTTTTATAATTTCGTCGGTATTGTGTTCCATACGACGAATTAATGCGGCGAAAATCGTCGTTCGCTCCAATTGTGTTCTTAGCATAACTTTGAAATTAAAAATGTTGAATGAAAAATTGTTGATATTTATAAAAATTGTTGAAAAATGCATATCATAAAACCTCCAATTTGCGTCGTATAAAAAAATGTATAAAAATCAACTTAGTTTTGACAAAACATTTTAAAAATTTTGACAGATCAATGTTCCCAAGCGTTGATGCATCTACATATATTCTTCTACCATGGTGCCGTATGCTAAAATACTCACCTTCCACTATGGTAAAATGGTGATATGGTCCCATTCCGTCAAAACATATACACAGTGTATGTATGTGTGTACATTTAACGTATTTTGGCAATACTATGGTACAATAACAAGTAAAATTCATAAATTTCGATAGAATGCATATTCATATCAGATTCCTACCTATGAAATGTGTTTTTCAACATATTTGCATTGTATTAAATTCAAGATGTCAAGCCAATTTTGGAATTGAAAATGTTGAATGAAAAATTATTTAAATTTGCAAAAATTGTTGAAAAACGCGAATTATAATAACCTCTGGATAATATCGTACAAGCAAACATATAAAAATCTACGTATATTTGATATAACATTCAAGATTTCTTGATATATCAATGTTCCCAAGCGTATTCTTCTACCATAAAAGTACGTTTATATATATGAGGGTTAACCCACTGGATTTGGATTTAAATTGTCATATCCATTACTTTTACTTCAAATAAATCCTCTCAAAGTAGGTTAACCCTACAAAAAGTTCTAACGTAAACATGGCATAACTGTGTTGATCTATCTACCTGCATTATTGTACCATTATTATGAAAATAAGAACATCAATCACTAAGTTCTATATGTGGCCAACGTGCTTTATTTTTACCCGCTGTCATCCCTAGACAATATGAGATTAAATTAGTATTTGGATAATAATACGCTGCTGACAGATATTTTATAAATTTGGAAAAATGGCCGATGATTTGGACGCAATCCGTGCCCAGCGTATGGCACAGCTCCAATCCCAATATGTAAGTAAATGTTTAATGAAAATGTGCACTCAATCGCTATTTACTCTGCCATGAGATGTGATGATTTAACCGGCAAGAATCACCTTTGATTTAGCTTGGGGACACACATGTTGGAAAGAAGAACAAAATGTAACACAAAGGTGACATTTGCAGTTCCAAATATGTTCCATGTTCATCTCCGGTATGAAAATTTGGCCCTAGCCCAAATACTACTCAATAAATAATTGGGGATGAGTCATTCTTATGGAAATAAAAATAGTGTGCATAGTTGAAACTTGTGTCTCAATATATAAACTGCTGGTAATATTAGAATTTTTAATTACGTAGACTATTTGGACTGTTATTTGCTGGGTTTTCCGTGTGATCCACAATGAGAACTCTCAAGTTAAATAGATTCATTATTGGTACATTGTATGTTGGTATACACGAGAAGCATGTTTGTTACCAAAAGGTTCATCCATGACAATAACATATTGTATAGTCCATTGCTAATCTGTTTTTTTTTGGCGATTTTTTATTTATTTTCAATTAATGCATTTTAAGGGCCATGGGCGGTTCCAAAAACTGCTATACTCGACTACTATAAAATTATATTATGAATCTTATTTAAAATTAAACAAATTAATTATAAAGTCTTGGTTTGCAGTTCTTCATAGTACATTTAACAGAAATGTTAACAATAACCATAATTGTTAATTATTATTTATTTAAATATAGGGCGGTGGAGGTGGTGGCGGAAATGCTGCAGAAAAACAAAAGGCACAAGAAGATCAAATGCGGCAACAGGAAGAAATGAAACACGCAATTCTCTCTCAGGTCCTTGATCAACAAGCTAGAGCTAGACGTATGTGTTTCCATTTTATTAAAGGAAAAAATTGGGATAATAATTTTATATTCTTGCAGTAAACACGTTAAAAATTAGTAAGCCCGAAAAGGCAGCAGTCTTCGAAAATATGGTTTTGAGAATGGCCCAGACCGGCCAATTAAGGGGAAAACTGGATGATGCCCAATTTGTAAGCATTTTAGAAAGCGTAAATGCACAGATGCCTCAAAGTAAGAGCACTGTCAAGTACGATAGACGTCGTGCAGCAATTGATTCGGACGATGATGATGACTATGGATGCTGATTATTGGCGGTAACTAGCCATAACATTTGGTTCATTATTATCATAATCCCAAACGGGGGCTGAGTTATCTTCTATTATTTTTGTAAGGAAAAATTCATTGCAACTCTCTTAGCTTAGTAACCATTTATTTGCAAAACTTTCGTTTAAACAAGTAATTAAGTTTTTAGTTTTTTTTTTTTTAAATAAAAACATACTCGTAAAAAATAAAGAGATTTCCATTGATATGAAATATATAAAACATAAAATTGGACTAGAAAGTTGGATACAGTAGTAGTTTAAATGAACTAGTTGGCTCGCAATACAAAGTTTAAGACGTACATCTGTCATAATGATCACCTTTCTGGTTGAAGTCTGTATTACACAATGCTAAAATGTCAGTTCTATAGATGGGTCTAGTCGTTCGGGAACATCAAAAAAATCAATATAGATTCACCAGATTTAAAATGTATCGGCATTATGGAAGAGTAACGACTTGTTTTCTTTAGTAGCGTAGTATTGATATCAAACATATTATTTAAGCGATAAACACATCTACAGATATTTTACTCCTTCTTTTCGTGGTCTTCTTCTTCCTCTTCGGTAACCAGACAGTCGCCGCAAAAGATGGAATACAAAATTAATGAAAGAAATCCTAACGGAAGACCGAATATAACTGATGTTAATACGGGGTTGCCGCGCCACATTTCAATGAGCGCCTTCTTCCCCTCGAATAGTGCCCTATTCAAGCGTACAAAATAAGTATCACCACCCAATGCGATTGCACTTTCATTATGAATGCTTTCCAGGAATATATGTAAAGCTTGTGGTGTCATTTGCATTGGATCATCGTCAGGCAGGTAGTGTTCTTGAGTTGTAGAATTTATAACAATTATGTGAGGGGTGGGCATTTCATCCATGATAATTGAATGTGCAATGCTTGGATCTCCAATCTGAAAGTAGATGTGCATTGGTGAGCAATTTTAAGTTACTTTGACGAATCGGCTTATACATACCCATCCAAATTGGAATTTGTCATGATAGCGGTCGCGATGTTTTCTAATAACAGTCTCTACCATATCACGAAATTCCAGTTCATGCGTTGCAATTTGACTTAGTTTGTCTTCCTCTACGACAGCAACCACAAGGTACTTTTTCGTTTTCAATAATTGATTTATGTTAAATCTAGTTATTTTGGGAAAGGCCACAAATCTCTCGACATTAACAAATTGATGAATTGTCTCATTAACCAATTCGGGATCCATTTCATGGGCTTTGTGAGCGTGTGGATAAAAATGATGCTGCTCCTCTTTGTAAACGATAACTGCTGGTAAGTGTTCAAACTCGAAGTGTTGTGCAGCAACATCTGCAGAAGTGGCATAGAAAAATCCATGCTCCTGATAATTTTCAGCTGCCACATAAAACGTATCCCATACAACACCTTCCTGGGGGCCCACAAACATGAAAAATATGGTATGTGAACCCTTGAGCATGTCCACACTTTCTGTTCGTGTAACTAATTGTACCGGCGGACCGCTCATTCTCAGAGCATAATCTACTAATTCGTCCTTAGAACGATCGCCCGAATAGGTGTACTCCATATTACCCTTGACAAAGATAATAGTTGGATAAGAGCGTATTTTAAATTCTTTTGCCGCAGCTGGATATTTAGTGCAATCCAAACGGCCGACACGTATATTGGTGGCATGTAATGCTTGCGCCACTAACGCAAAAATTGGTTCAGTTCTCTTACAATAGCCGCACCAGGGAGCGTAGAACATTACTAGCCATTGGCCTTCATGGCGTACGTCTATAAACCGATCAGTGAGCTCGAAAACTTTCGAATTTGTTCCAGCCTCAACCCCCACGAACAAATAAGGTATTGTACACAGCGCAATCAAAGCTAAAAACGATGCTAATATTTATTTTTTTCTTTCAATTATTCTTATTTATAACTATGCTCACCATTGATAAACAAAGAGGGGAACATTTTTTTCGTTTTCATGTTTAAAAATATTACAATATAGAGATTTTCTGGTAGACACGATACGTTTTTCCCAAACGTAATTTATTCGGATGGATATTATTAATTACATTAGAGTAGAATACATTGCGTTTAGTGGAGTTTTTGCCGCTTTCAAATTTAATTGAATTAGTGTTGTATGAGTACAATATTAATTGTTTCTAAATAAAAATATTCTGTGAATGGACACCAGTTCTGAGGGTAGTGAAATGACAAAATCAACAATTTAGGGGTTAAAAGTGAGAGATGCCATATCGCTTGGAAAACTGAATATATTTTCGATTGTGGTACTGAAGATAAAACAGAATAAAAGTTCAGGTCATTGTGGCATATTTTAATGGTAAGGCTGAAATAAAAAAAAAATGGAAGCACACATTAAAGGTGAGAATACATGAAATGCATTTTTAACTGGCTTAAGTCATGCAATGCAATGCAGTTTTATTATTAGCTTTATACAAGTATAATTTGTCAAATTAAAGAAAATGAAAATAAAGAAAGAATGTGCTTTCTAATTAAATCCTGATCTTAAAGTAAAGGAATGAAGATCGTCGTAGATTGTGGAACCAAGACATTTAAGTTAAAAAGATTTTTTTGTTTTGAAAATAGATTTTGTTTCTTTCTATTGGAAACAGCACAGTTAGCAGTCACCATGGTCATGGTAGAAGAATATAGGTAGACGCGTCGACACAGCTGCTGGGACAATGAACTGTCAAACCAATTTTGGAATTGAAAATGTTGAATGAAAAATTATTTAAATTTGTAAAAATTGTTGAAAAACGCGAATTATATTAGCCTCCGTATGACGTAGTATAAGAAAACATATACAAATCCAATTATATCTGAAAAAACATTTAAATTTTTTTGACATATCAATGCTCCAAAGCGTTGATGCATCTACCTGTATTCTTCTGCCATGACCATGGTAGAAAAATATATGTAGATGCATCGACACAGCTGCTGGGACAATGAACTGTCGAACCAATTTTAGAATAGAAAATGTTGAATGAAAAATTATTTAAATTCGTAAAAGTTTTTGAAAAACGCCAATTATAACAACCTCCGAATTACGTCGCATTTCAAAACATATAAAAATCTACTTATATTTGAAAAAACCCTTTAAATTTTTTAATATATCAATGGTCACTCTCGTAAAAAACAAAAAATGAAAAACTGTTGATGTTTGCGAACAATTCACGTCACATAACTGTGACTATGCTGTGAAATTTTGACAGTTCTTTCAGTGAAAGTTTGCAAATTCTTGCTGGACAAATTTCTTCTTGCAATCACTTGCAACTCTTCTTCTTCTCATTGATCGACATTCAATCAAATGTTTTCTATTGTTTATTTATTTCTTTTTGTGATTTCAATTTGAAAATATTGTTTTGGAATTAGCAAGACTAATTGTTTTTGGAGAACAACTTTACAAAATGTGAAAAACATAAATATTAATTTGTAATAAGAAAATAAAAGACTATTTCAAACATTTTTAGACAAATGTCATTAACAACAGGTTTAAAGGATTCCGCGGAATACATCAATCTAGCTTCCTTTTATTGCTCATATTTTTATTTTATTGTCAATCTCCTTTTTATTTATATAACTTGTGAAATTGGTGATGGTTCCTCTCGTTTAATTCTTTTAATGGGGGACATATTGGTTTGTTTTGACAATTCAGCTGATTGGTTGCAAGCTTCTGCAGGAATACCGTCTGTTTACTTTTCTCAATTTCCTTGCAAAAGAGAATAAATGTACCTTACTCCATGGTACAATGAAGAGAAGGTAGGTCAACTTTGAAAAAATTGCAAGTATAGAGGTCTACCTGTTTGGCTTGTAATGTCAGAATTAGTATCAAAACAATAAAAAATCAAACAACTTGTTGCATTTATTTTGAATAAATGATTGAAAAACGCGATAACTGAATGAAAGGTCAAAACTTCTTTTCAAAATCATGTACTATATATTTCTAAAGGATTATCTCGCTACAAAAACTCTAGATTTTGTAGATACATACGTTGAAATAAACATTTTAAGAACACCCGAATTTGAATATTTTCTGAACAATTTTTTGTTATTGAAAAGAAAACACATACATAAACAAATAAAGATGACACATTAAGCCAAGAAAATAAAAAAATTGAAATCATATGGTAGTTCTGCCCTACCTTGAATTCATTGTACCATGCCTTACTCTCTCAGAAAGATGTTGCTGGACAATTCCTGCAGGAAAAGTAACCAGACACACCTAATAATTATACCATGGTATCATGAGTGTAAACAAGTGTGGAATTTGACATTTAGCATTGATTAGAACAGCTGTTTGGAACACCATGGATTATGCCATATTGTACCATCCACTCTTGAGAGGAGGGTTAACACTTGAACATATCATACAAATTTATCGGCACAGGGGGCAATAGTAATTATATGAATGTTACCGCTACCGCTAAAAACTGTTGAGAATGTTGTGTCGCAGAAGTGTTTGTTGCCGAGGGATGTACTCGAGAGAATTGGGAGACCCGGCGATTGGGCCAAGTGTTGGTTCCATTTGCAAGGAAATGACGAATTGAATTTTACCCTTTGCCAATTATTTCCTCGAAATGGAGATACCGGATCTGTCTGTTTTTTAGACATAACAGTTTGCAAATTTATGCCTAGGAATGATGATTGTCAACTCGTTCTTCATAATATAGAAATATTGGATCGGAAAGAAGTAATACAATTGGAGGAAGTCGAAGTTACATTTTCACTTAGTCCCAACAACATTGAGAAATTTACATCATTTCCATGCAACAATTTAAAGGATATGGCCCAGATTTTGTTGCAACAATATCACTTGTGTACATCATGCATTGTGCTAAGCCCAGAGTTCAAGAAAATCGGAGTGGACTATATCTCTATAGACATAAGCAATCAAAGCAATTCTGGCAGATTTGTTGTCACCGATGATACCAAAATTAAAATTGGCAACATTTCTATAGCCAACTACTACGACGGATCCAACTTTGTATGCTCCGATGTACCCGTGTTTAACAAAGCCCGAAGACAACTTGACGACTTGCTCGAAACGGCAAAAATACAGTCGAAAAGTTCACAAAGAATGAATTTAAATTCATTAATTGTTGGAACGTTTGGGTGCGGCAAGACGTCACTGGTTGAAGACTACCTATATCAATGTAAATGCAATGTTTTCAGATTGAAATCTTCGAATT